CCTGTCATCTCAGACAGGGGTCCGATGGATGCCAGGCCTGGGGGTACCTGCAGACACTGTAAGACAAAGGTGCACAAACACCACCTGGCCGGGGCCTCTGCCTCCTGGCCACGCAGCCAACAGCGCCGAGAGGGCCGAGGTCAGCGCCCACCCTCTGCAGCACTGCTGTTTCACGGGGATGAAGACCAAGGCTCAGAGAGAAGCTACTTCTGCTTGTCCTGGGCCCCCCAAGAAGGAGGCGCCCACAAAGAGGTGGGGGGAGGGAGACGCCCACCCTGCAGATCTCGGTGTAGTAGAAGGAGTTGCTAGTGACCAGCAGGCGCAGGACCAGCCCAGGGGACCCACGCAGGACGGCCTTCTCTGGGCGAGTTAGACAATCAGATCCTGCTTCTCTCCGGATCCCTGCTGTCTCCCGTCACGTGTGTGTAAAACAAACGGCGGTCACTCGCGGTCCTCAGAGGCTAGCCACGGGCGGTAGAGCGGGACCCTGCTGGGGCACTTGGGGCCTCACTCACTGGCCAGCGGAGGCCTGTGCTGCGATCCCAGGTTTTCGTGGGTTGGCGTCTTACTTTATTTCTATGGAGACAGAAATATGCGGGGGGGTGGCAGGAGATGGAAATAAAGGGTCATGGGATATTCCCCCCCAAGGTCTTTGTGAAGCTCCCTTGCACAAATGTTGACATTTCTAAAATGTCCAGAGAGTTGTGAGTGTGAAGTAGCTTAACGCACAGAGCCTGCACACACCCCCATCCCGATGGCTCAGACGCCCGTTTTATAAAGACACCCAACGTCACCCTGGGGTGTGACAGTGGTGGTGACCAAGGCCCTTGTTTCTAACCCACTAATGGGATCCAGATGGACACGTAGCCCCTGAAAGACGTTTTCGGCCACGGAGTTACAAATGGCAGAGGTGCCAGCGGCACCTGGCAGGGCCGTCTCAGCCGGCCACCTGGCTGGCCCAGGTACACAGAGCTGTGCTGGGCCCCCAGCGGAGAGGGGTGGTCATGGCCAGCCACACGGAAACCTCGTGACACTTAGCCCGGGCTGAGTGCATCCCTCTCACTGACGGAAAACCAGGGACCTGCGCCAGGCAGGGCCTGGTCAGCTCACGGCACCCAGTGGTCCCAGAACAGCCCCAGGCCAGGTCCCCAGGGCGGCCGCAGCAGAGACCACAGGCCTGTGGCTTCTGAGGACAGAGGTTTCCTGCCTCGGGGCCTGGAGGCTGAGTCCTGGGGGGTCGGGGAGGCCAGTGCACGGTGGGATAGCACTGGGCTGCCAACAGAAGGGTTGGGGATTCAAGGCTCCGTTGCTCCTGTGCAGGTTTCCCGCCTCTGTCCGTGGGGTGGCCCTGAGCGGGAACCCAGCGGTCGACGGGGGTGGGCTGGGGCAGGAGGGGAGACAGGAAGCCTGCAGCACCCCAGAGGTCGAGAGGCCCTGTTTCTGGGGTGCTGTAGGGCTGAGCCCCCCTGGTGGCCACGCCCCGCCTGACACCCCCTCTCTCTCTTGCAGTCACGTTCAGCAGCTGCCTGGGCCCCCGGGGGACACAGTACGAGAGCAGCAGCCTGGACTTCCGCGTGGGGGCGGACGGCACTGTCTTCGCTGCCCGGGAGTTGCAAATCCCCGAGAAGCAAGTGGCCTTCACGGTGACGGCGAGAGACCGCCAGACGGCCGAGCGGTGGGACACCGCAGTGCGGCTGCGGGTGGCCCCGGGCGCGGCCCCGCACGCAGGACACAAGGTGAGGGCGCTCCGTGAGCTGGGTGGGGCTGCACCACTGCTTACAGCCCCTCGGCCCCAGTCCAGCAGCTCTGAGACATTCCCCCAGGGAAGCCAGGGCTCACGCTGCTGGCTTGTGGGCACTGCTGCCTGGGGTGGAGGTGGGCCTGTCCATCTCCTTGCAGCTGCCATGGTGTGAGCTCACCGGGGCCCCAAACCAGGGACCTGCTCCTGCAGCCCCCTATCCCCCACTGGGGCCGAACAGAAGACAGACCCCGTGGCCGGCAGCAGCAGCCAACCAGGGTCACCATGTGGGGCTAACTCAGGGGTTGGGGGTAGAGAGAAGGAGAGAGACACACTGGGAGAGAAAGGCAGATAGACGGGGGGCAGGATGACTACAGGAACAGAGAGACAGGGAGGAGAGAGACGGAGAAGGGACAGACAGGCAGAGAGAGAATGAGAGCGGGAGGGAGAGATAGAGCAGAGGGGAGAGACAGACAGACAGGCAGAGAGACATGGGGAGAGAGAGAGACTGGGGAGCAGAGACACACACAGAGAGACAGAGACAAACTGCTGTGGAGAGCATTGCGGGAAACGGCTGAAAGACCTACCACGTCGGCTGCTGAGAGCGAGGCTTGAGTGTGAGCAGGTGCAGGCAGGGGCTTGTCAGGAGCCTCCGACCAAGGGGAGCGTGGCAGCCTGTCAGGGGTGCTGCTGGTTTACGGACGCCCTGACCACGTGTGGCGTCCTCACCCATGCCCTTGTTGGGCTGTGGCAGCCCCTGCTCGCTCCCAGGCCGTCTCCCCATCCTGCTGGAAGGGGAGGGCCGACTCAGGTCCAGCCTGGTCCACCCCCAATCGCCGGGGTGGCTGCCGCCTGTGGAGCCCAAATTGCAGCCCCCGGGGTCCTCTCCTGAACAGCTCCTACCCAGCCACTACGTCCCTGCCACCGCTGCCGCCAGCCGTGGTCACAGACACCTCCTGCCCATGCCCGGACGAGAAAGCCAGGCCTCTGGCCGGGAGCCTAAGAGGGACTGTGGCTCGGTGGGGGTGGGGGTGGGGTGCTAGTGGGGGTCTGACCCGTAGGTTCAGGCACTGGGCAAGTTGGAGGAAGTGTGTTTGAAATAGCATCCAAACATTTCCAAACGTGCAGCTGCCTCAGTGGTCAGCGTTCGGAAAGAGGGGCAGGCGCTGTGAGGGCCTGTGGCGGGCACAGTCTTGTCCTGGGGCAGAGCTGCACAGGCACACAGCCCTGCCCGGGGAGTTGCGTGGGGACCGTTGGACCGGACTCCCTCGGGTGGAGACTGTTAGGCGACTTGTGTCTTGGCCAGAAAGCTCGAACAGGCTGCTCTGCAGAGTGCAGACAACGGAGCGGGGGCTTGCGAAGGCTGGCGGCAGACGGGCTTCTGAGACAACGGGCCCACCGCTCCTCAGAGTTCCCTCGCTCTCGTGTCTGGGGGGCATGGCTGTGTCTCCCAGGAAAATGCTGAGACTCCTGGTTTTCCCTGGATGGAGTGTGACTTCCCTCCCCCCGTCAGCCCTGTCTGTCGGCCTGGTTAAGGACCAGCGGACCCTTGGGCCCTCCGAGTCGGGTGGGCAAGGCAGGTCTCCCAGAGGAAGCGCTGTGGAAGCAGTGAGGCTGCCAGCGCGGTTGGGGATCATCGCCATGCCTGTAGGGCGGGAGGAGCATGGAAGCAGACTGCCACGGGACTGGCTGCATCCTGACCCCCAACAGAGAAAACCTCACTCCTGGTCTGTTCACCCACACTGGTTGCTGGTGGGCTGCTACGCTCAAGGTCAGCAGTTTGGACCCACCAGCCAGCCGCTGTCCAGGAGAAAGATGAGGCTGCCTGCCCCCTTAGAGACACGCAGTCCAGACCCCGCAGGGGCAGCGCCATTCCGTCCCAGGGGGTGGCTGAGAGTCGGAATCTACACAGTGGCAGGGAGAGTTTGGGGAACCTGTTTGTTTCTTTAAACAAGTATGTGGGCACCTGGCGCCTTCCAGGCAGCGCTGTCCCAGGTGCTGAAGACAGAGCCGCAGGACCAGGCTGACGCCACTCCCAGAATCCCTGGGGTGCTCCAGGAACGTGCTTGGTGCCTGGGGCCCACCCACTCGGCCAAGGGGCCCGGGAATCGCTCTGTAAATGTGACATCTGGCTGGCAGATCCCCGCTCTGTCCCGCTGGGGTGGGGGGTGGGGGGGCTGTGATTCGGGATTCACTCCTGGGTCCCTCACAGGGCCAGACAGGAGAGCATCCCTGTCACCCTCAGGAAGGCCGCCTGCCGTAAGCAGGAGTGACACACATTCTGTAACCCCCCAGACTCTGCACCAGGCATTGGGGACGCAGCAGTGGGTGGCAGGGACCTCACCCTCGTCCTTGCCCAGGAGGCCCCAGGGCAGTGGGGAGCTGGACCAGAGACAAGCAAGTGTCCTGGAGGGAGCCCTGGAGCCTGGGCTGAAGGGCTGGTGGTCTAGCCTGGGGCTGTGGGCACAGGATGCACCGGGCAGCAAGGGTGGAGGGACCGAGCGTCAGGCAGGTGCAGCGTGAGCAGCCTCAGCATGCATGTGAGCCCTCTGCATGTCACGCTCCTCGTCCGCAGGGCAGAGATCGGGAGCCTCCATGCCACACTCGTGCTGCGAGATCAGAAATGGGAATTCGGAGGGACCTAGCTGTCATCTGGAGCCGCTCCCCCTTCCCCCCGCCCCCGAGATAAGTGGGAACCTTCTACAGAAAAGGAAAATCAGTCTGAAGGCCAGAGAGCTAAGGACACTGTGCAGGGGTCATCATGGTTCTAGGGATGTTAGCTTCAAACACCGGCAACAGTCCCGGGCGGTGGGTGATCAGCCGAGAGCCGGCCAGGTCTCTGACCTCCCTGTAGGAGTATGGGTGCATAACATGGCGTCCGGGGCCACCTACAGCAGCCGGGAGCTCCTTGGGTGGGGATGGGGAGCCCAGAGGCTCCACCCTCAGGACACTGGCAAAACAGAAGCCCCTGTACCGTGCCAGGGCCTGGCACTGGTCTCTGAATGGCGGCGCCCAGAGATTGCCCACAGAAGCAAACGGTGTCTTCTCTGGTAGGTGCGATCCTCCAAGGCCTCGGATGACTTCTGCATTCCTTCACACGAAATGTCTAGCGCGCCACCGAAAATAGCCCTGCTCCTGCAGGGGCGGCGACAAGGCAGTGTAAATAAAAGCCAGGAGAAACAGCGGGTGCCGGCTGGGGATCTCGATATGCTCCCGGTGGGCGCTGGAGTTGTTGGGCACAGTGTATATAGTACCTATGGGGCCCGCTGGCATAGAGGGTCACTCCACGGGCTGCTAACCCCAAGGTGGGCAGTTGAAAACCACCAGCCGCTGCTCAGGAGAAAGATGGGGCTTTCTGAACCGTCTCAAGAGTGCCCGTCTCAGAAACCCCAGGGGCAGTTCTGCCCTGTCGTAGAGAACTGCCACGAGAGGGGGATCATCTCCATGACCGTGAGTTTGGTCCAGGGTTTATGAACATTCAAAAAAACAACCCAGGCTAAAGTAGGGAGAGCTACACACGCAGAAAACACAGGAGAAAGGTAAGGTCTTAGAGATACTGTCACCGGTACACAAATACCTTTGTGTTTGGACTCTCGAGACAGGTACAATGGAAACGTCGTGGGTTAAAAATAATCCTCCACCCTTCAATTAATCCCACATGTGTTTATCGGCCAGGTTGGCACAGTAAACTACCGCAGTAGTTATATAATCTACTGTCAATTTGAGAGGATTCAGAGTGAAAGGGTGGAGTGTCCATCACGTGGTTGCAGCTTGATGGCCTCATCTGCAGGTGCCAAGGGGATAGATAGCTCAGTGGAGGTGGGACACACTCACTCCCTGGGAGACTGCTGACAAGGCTGTCTCCCTGCGAGACATTTCTGACGAGAAGCCACATGAAGACAGGCTGATGCAGCCAGAGCCCTGGGAGCTGGAGGAGCCATGAGCAGACCCACGCCAGCGCTGAGATGCTTCCACTGCCACTGGATCCACAAGACTTCCCACCCACTGGCCTGTGATCTTCTGCGTCGTTGCATGTGTTGTTGCATGTGTTTCGTGAGTCTGAAGAGGACTTTATAGACTGGTATCGGACATTTGGGTTAATATCGGATTTATGGGCTTGATCTGGACTCTGGGCTGGGATGCTTTCTCAATTTTCCACTGCTTTTGTATATAAAGCTCTGTCTTTTTCACACGTGAGTGTCTACACATTTGTTTCTTTAGTCTACCCAGACTACACACCTCTGTTGCAAAGAAACAGTCAGCCCGGATGGCGTCAGGGGTGAAGCCTACCCTTGACATGGGAAGGAGCAAAACGAACCCTGTTCGAGGTGAAGAACGGTATCCCCACCCACCGTGAACCGTGTCCAAAGCCAGCACACAGCCACCCAATACCGACAAGAACCTCGTCCATTACCGACAAGAACCGCATCAGAAACGTCGGGAGAGCCGCTAACTGTATGCCAATCTCGCTCACAAGTCGAAGCACAAGCCCAATGCAAAAAATTAACACACCTGAACTCAGCCATGTCTGCTCATGAGAATACACATGGCCCAAATTGGATGTATCCCAAGAACACGTGGCAGGTGCAGTGCCTGAGCGTGAATCCGTGTCATTCAACCAGAACAAAGTCGAGAAATCGCACCATCACCTGAATAGCCACTGCTGCAGTAGACCAGAGCGCCATTTCTTTCAGGGGCAGACCACTCCCCAAACAAGGAAAGCAGGGGCCTCCCTCTACAGTAGGGCCCTGACAGATGGTACATGGCCAGTGGCTGAGACACTCCACGCTTCCCCTTGAGCTCAGAAACAAAAGACGGCCTCTCTCACATCATCTCCTGGAGCTGCGGCACGTTCCCACAAGAAGAGGCGTCGGATAAATGAAGCTGGCGCTATTTGGAGCTTGCGTGGTGAAAAATCAGAAGGAATCTGTAGAGAAGTTATCAGAATGCATAAGTGAGTCAGCCCGCAAGTGTGATCGCTTGCAAGCAATCCCTACT